GACCTCCTCCTCCTCTCCGTCCTCCTCCTTTCCTCTTCCATATAGATAATTCCTCCCTGTTGCACCACCAGACGTGTCCGTAGGCCCGGCTGGGCGTTTCGCATGAGGCTTCCTCGCCACATATGACCCTGAAACTTAAAATCTGCAACAACGTCCAAGATTGAGCCCGGGTCGTTTTCAAAATGTGGCTCTCGCCATAGTAACATGAACATACGCTTTGAACACTTGCAACCGCCGCAAGGATAGAGCCGATATCGTTTTCATGATGCGGTTCTCGCTTTAGCGCCGCGCGCATTCGCCTCACAAACTTGCAGCGATTTCAAGGAAGGAGGCCAGCTCCTGTTCAGAATGTGGTTGTCGCACTAGCGCGGCGCGCATCCACACGACCCAACCATCACCATTGTATGCAACAATTGCGAGTCGGTGCACATCCATCCGACCCAACCCTCATCATCCTGGGCAAAACATGCAACTCTGCTCACATCGATGCGGCCCAACCCTCCTGATCCGATGTAAACAACTACTATTCGGCGCACGTCCATACGACCCAAACCTTACCATTCGATGCAGCAAAATATTCGGTACACGTCCATCCCACACAGCCCTCACCATCCTACGCAAACTACCCCATTCGGCGTACATCCATACGACCCAACCTTCATAACCCCCGGTAACACAAAAAAAACATCATTCGTTGCACATCCATCGGCCCAGCTTGCAACACCAGGTCCAAAAAAAACAACTCGGCGCGCAGCCACCGACCCAACCCTTACCATCCTCTGCAAAAAGGTGTTCAGTGCGCATCAGCTGACCTTCAGCATCGACCCATCTCCCGGCCCCGAGAGACGCTCGAAACAGAAGGCAGAAGAAAATAACACATCGACAGCACATGCGTGTTGCTTCGTTACGTGTCGGGCACTCCTCGCCGACTCCGACTTTGCACCCAAGCGCTCCCCAGGCTACACGACTGTCGGAAGAAGTAGGTAAAGACATGAAGTAGGAAGGCGTTGGAAGTAGATTGGGCTTCCATCTGCACCCTGAAGAGGAGGAAAGAAGGAAAACCGCTCAACTCTTGAAGTAAAAAATGCGCCTAAAATAGATTAGGATTTGGGCATCCAAAAATACCTACTTTCAACGACCGGCTTGTACCCCAGGCGCCCCCAGACGCTCCAAGACGCTCCCGGGCGCTCCTAGGCGCTATAATCCCTCTCCGAGCGCTCACAGGCTCGCCGTCGCCACCAGGGGATGAGGGGATGAGAATTCGAGTGGGGGATAGACTACAGAACTGATAGACTACAGAACTGATTTATCCCTAAATTGATTGTTCCGTCGAATATGCGAAAATGCGTCGGATGCTCCATATATCCACAGAACATTCTAGGCATTTTCCGCAGATTCGGCGGAGCAAACAATTTTGGGGTAAATCAATGCTGTAGTCGACCCCCTACTCGAAGAATTGGAGGAGCAAAACGATGCATAAACATAAGCTTCCGGAGTGCCACATCCTCATCTTCACGCCTCAAGCAGCAAATTAACTCAGATCGCGTTGACCCGTGAACAACATGTTGTTTCACAATGGGGCTCCCGCTTTGCTGGCGCCGCACACCATCGTTCTGCACAGCCACAGAACAGACAGAGGAAGGGCCGTCTTCAAAAAGAAGCTCTCGCCCTGGCGCAGTGCATACTCGGATTCCAAATTGCCCTTGGCTGCGCGAGCGGATGACGAGTCCTTCCCAAGACGGTGGGGCCTTTGCACAAGGAGCCCTTAGATACGGATGGAAGCTGGTGGACATCAAATCGTGGATCGGCCATGGACATCACCGCCGCCCTGATCAGATAAGGAATCTTCCAGGGTCTGTAGCCTCGTTGGCACATTTCTTACCGAACGCCTCGAATCGTATGGGGGTCTCCCCTTGGCCTCGCGCACAATCGAATACAACATCCACCATCTGCACTCACTTGACCCTTCCGCGCCCTTTGTCGACCCATGTTCCACATTGTATAACAACTAACACGGATGGAAGGCGGCTCCTCTTTTGAAACGTGGCTCTCGCGTGACTCCCGCGAAGAATACGCCCACAAGTTTGACGTCCTGCAAAGCTTCAACGAATGGAGGCCGTGTCCTTTTCAAAATGAAAGTATCCGTGGGCCTCCTTGAAGGGTTCGTTGGACTTCCCCGCAGCATAAGTCCGCGAATTTGGCATCCTACAGCGCTTCTACGAAAAGAGGGCATGTGATTCTCATAATGGTGCTACCTGGGCGTCCTTCAAATGAAAAGAAGGTCCTTTACATCAAGCGCCCTCGTCTGATTGGCGGACCGACCGGCCGCTCGTCATTCAAGGGGGGGGGGCCGCAGTGGAAATGAAGTCTTGTCTTCACTTATGAGGAAGGGAATTGGGACCGGAGGGGGTATTGCAGCATCGGTTGATGCATCTTCGGTTCAATCTGGTCCTCCTCCGGCGAAGCTTCCTCCTCCTCCTCCTCATACCCATCATCACGTTACATGATCAACATGGTGATCATGATCACCATCAAACCTGACCACCAGTACCACCATGACAAACACCATCACCACCACTATAACCATCACAATCAACAGCATCATCATAATGCCCATCACCAGCAGCAACAGCACCATCACCATCACCATCACCATCATCATCATCATCATCATCATCATCATCATCAGCAGCAGCAGCATCAGCAGCCTCAGCATCAGCACCAACATCAGCATCATGATCACCATCATCATCACCACCACCATCACCATCACAATATTCATCATCAACTCCAGCATCATCACCATCCTCATCAGTATCATCATCATCCTCATCATCATCACCATCATCATCATCACCATCATCAGCTGAATCATCAGCATCATCATCACCATCATCACCACCACCATAACCAACAACAGCAGCAACAGCATCATCATCATCACCATCAACACCACCATCACCATAATAAGCATCATCACCATCAGCATCAACATACTAATCATCATCAGCATCAGCATCAGCATCAGCATCAGCATCATCATCATCATCAACATCAATATCAACATCATCATCATCATCATCATCATCATCATCATCATCATCATCATCATCATCATCATCATCATCATCATCATCATCATCAAATCATCAACATCCCCGCCCTCGCCCTCGCCCTCGCCCTCCCGCCGTCTCGCCCTCCTCCTCCTCCTCGCCCTCGCACTCTCCATCCTCCTCGTCCTCCTCCTCCTCCCCCTCCTCCTCCTCCCTCTCCTCCTCCTCCTCCTCCTCCTCCTCCTCCTCCTCCTCCTCCTCCTCCTCCTCCTCCTCCTCCTCCTCCTCCTCCTCCTCCTCTCCCCACCCCCTCCGCGCACATTCCAGGCCCTCCCTCTTTCCTGTCGGATCGATCAGGAAGGGAAGCCATCTCGCGGCCTCCGGGCGCCTCACAAGGGGCCTCGTGGCTTGGTGGGGTGGCCTTCTGGAACGGCGGTTGGGTTTGCCCTGTGGCCTCCGGCGGCTTCGTGGTCCACCGTACCACTCCCCTCCTCCCTCGCATTCTCCTCCTCCTCCTCCTCCTCCTCCTCCTCTCTCCTCGTCCCTTGCAAAGCCCTCGCCCAACTCCCCTCCTCTCCCAAATGACTCTTTCTCATCCCCTTCCTATTCCTCTTCGTCCCACCCTCCTTCCCTCCTCCTCCTCCTCCTCCTCCTCCTCCTCCTCCTCCTCCTCCTCCTCCTCCTCCTGGCGCCACCTCCCTCTTGCTACTGTCCCTCCTGCTCCTCCTGGGATATCAACCTTCTCCGCCTCGTTTGCCACGTCCCTCCTGGCCCTCCTCCCTTCGTGTCCTTCACCCCCCCCTCTTGTTACTCTCCACAACTCTCCTGGATGCGAAGGGCCCGATGTCCTCTACAGACTCTCTCTGCGAGCGGCGCCCCCTTCTCCCACCCGTACTGTGCCTGACGCAGCGGACGTCACCCGTTGACGTTTCGTGCCGCTCTCGGCCGGAACATGCTGTCGGAGTGGCGTGTCCCGCTGCAGCGGCTCGCCCTCCTTTCACGATCGGCGCTCTGCCCCCGTCGCTCCGCATGGGGCTCTCGCCCCACCGTGGGCCACACTCATGGACCCGAGTGTTCAGTCGGGCGTGTCCCCCATGGGGGGATCGTGGGCGACAAATAAAGGATCCTAGAAAAATACCCCCCCTGATGCTCAAAAATAGTAGCAAAATTCGTCCCCGGACTATTTTTGAACTACTTTTGAATATCCCCCCTGTCGAGGGACACGCTCGACTTAACCCCATCGTTCAGAATGGGGATCTCGCCCCACCGTAGGCCACACTCATGGACCCGAGTGCTGCCTCGTCGTTGTGTCGCCACGCCTTCCCCGAGTCGTCCGTCCCCTTCCTTCCGCTCCGGCTGTTGCTGTTGCTGTTCATCCTCCTCCTCCTCCTCCTGGACCTCCTTCATCCGCCTCTTCCTCCCGCCGATCCCCGTGCCTATCCGCCTCCTCATCCTCCTCATCCTCCTCCTCTCTGTACACACCTCCCTTTTCGGATTGCGCACAACACGATGAGGTCATTCAAGGGTTGCCGGCCAGCTCAGACACCCGCCAGCAAAAAGAGACAAGTCAGTGCTATGGTGAGGGAGGGGTGGGAGGGGCAGGATGATAGATATGGCAAGAGCACCCTAGCGTGTCCGCGTCCAACTTCCAACGCAATCAACAATGCCTCCGAGCTGGCCGCAAAGACAGATGCCGCTCAGATGCCTAAGCTCTGCTAAAGCAAGATGCCGACGAGAGGAGAGAGAGGAAGAGAACAGAAACGAGGGAGGACAAGAACGAGAATGGGACCCAGCTGGCCGAACTCGTGGCTCTGCTGGCCCCTCAAGGTACCTCCTCCTCCCCCTGCACCTCCCTGCTCGTCCTCCTTCCTGCTCGACCGGTCTTTCTCGAACGCAGTCGAGACGTCCTCGCGACGCTTCGGCGACCCCTGGGCGGCGGCGCGGAACCGAAGTGTCGCCCAACCCGGCGGCCTGCTCGGGTGCCGCCAGGCCAAGGCTGCTGCTGCCTGGGGGGGGGAGGAAGAATCAGGAGGGGGAAAAACACACGGACATCATTAATCGTCGATCCCCAAGAAAATATGGGAAAATATGGGAATTGGGCGGGAAGACAAAAACCCAGGGAATATGGGAAAATATGGGGAATTATTTATTCATGTGTATTTATTTGTGTGTCCTTGTGCCCCTTGAAAGAAGAGGAGGAGGCGGAGGAGGAAGCGGGGGGAGCAGGAGGAACCTGAAGGGGCCCGCAGGGCCACGAGTTCGGCCAGCCAGGTCTGAGGGGAGGGGTGGGGGCGAGGAGGCCAACCAACTCTTCGCACTCGTGAGTCCGCGCGCGCTTGCTGCAAGCCCTGGCCCCCGAACCCCCGCTCTCTCCGAGGGCGTCGGCGTGCCGCCGCCGCCGTGCCTCCCTCGAGCGCCGTCTCCGCCCTCCAGCGCGGAGACGCCCGGCGTGAGTCTCCCCAGCCCTAGTCGTCGGGGGGCCCTCCACCATCATCATCATCATCATCATCATCATCATCATCATCATCATCATCATCATCATCATCATCATCATCATCATCATCATCATCATCATCATCATCATCATCATCAGCATCATCATCGTCACCATCATCATCATCATCAGCAGCATTATCAGCAGCATCATCATCAGCCCCAGTCGTCGGGGGAGGCCTTCAACGCAGCTGTCGCGCGCCACCCGCGCGCGCCCCGCCCCGCCCCTCGGATGCGCCCCGTCTCGTCGGGGCAAGGGGCGGAGGGGAGAGTGGGGGCCAGAGGGCGCGCAGGAGGGAAGGAGGAAGGGGAGGAGGCAAGGGTGGCGGGGATGGAAAGGAGCGAGGAGTGGAGAGAGACAAGGAGCAAGGAGGAAAAGGGGGGGGAGTACGGCAGACGGGGAGGAGTCAAGAGAGACATGACGGAGACGCGACGGGAGTAAAGGGGAGAAGAAGGAGAACACGGAGGAAGGGAGGCTATGGAGACGAAGGAAGGGATGTGGGAGGACGAAGAGGAACGAGGAGGGAGAAAGAGAAAGGGAAGGGGGAGAAGGGATAAGGGAGGAACCGGCTGTGGAGGCGCTAGAAGAGGGGAGGAGGCAGAGGAGGTGGAGGGTTGAGGGGGGCGAGGAGGGAGGAGCCGAGGAACAGGATGAAGGATGGAGGGAGGGAGGGAGGAGGGAGAGGAGGGACGGGGAGGGATGCAGGGCGGACGGGGCGGGGGAGCAAGGGGGGGCGAGGGCACGACAGGGGGTCAATTAAGGGACGGCGAGCTGTGTGGAAAAACCTGCGGCGTGCACAAAAGCGGGTGGCGCAGTAGAGGCCGCCTCCTAAGAGAGCGGGCGGCTTCTAAGAAGGCCTTCTCAGAAGCGCCCAGGGGCCCAACGGCTGCCCAAGACGACGCCTTCTCAAAGCCGGGAGGACCTCGAAGGGGTCCCCCCTTCCCCTTTGTGGAAGCTACTCTGCCCTCTTAGAGGGCGCTACCCCTTTGTTTTTGTGCGCAAAGAGAAACAGAGCGTGTCCAACGCATATGTGGCGCCGAAGCGGCAACAAGATGTCGAGAAGGACCCGCCATCCATCCATGAAGCAAATCGACTGGATACGCGTTGGACAGACGTACTCATAAGAAGAGATACGGCGAGAGCGCAGTCTCGAAGAGGAACTGCACTTGAAGTGTGCAGCTGGCGGGAATCACAACGTATGGCCCAACCTCCCCTTGTCCACATGTAGGAAAGCACTCCCAAAGCGAGAGTGAACGTGTCCAACTGTGTGCGCAGACGGGACAGGGCGGAGCCGCTTCAAAGTGGCTCCCACTCAGCGTCTCCTCCCAAGCTGCTCAGTAGAAAAGTCACGTCGGATCCTGTGACCGCCGCACGAGGCATCCAAGAACGTGCTAAGGAGTGCGGCTACGGCTGAAAGCTTCCACGCAGCGCTCATGCTGGAGATGTCCTCCTCCTTCGACGCCGTCGAGGACGGCAACCGCGGCGGCTGCGACAGTGACGGCAAGGACGACGACCAGGACGGCGACGACGCAGACGACTACGACGACCACGACGACGACGACGACGACGACGCAGACGACCACGACGACCACGACGACGACGACGACGACGACGCAGACGACGACGACGGCGACGACGACGACGACGACGACGACCACGACGACGACGACGACGACGGCGACGACGACGACGACGACGACGACGACGACCACGGCGGCGACGACGACGACGACGACGACGACCACGACGACCTCGACGACGACGACGCAGACGACCACGACGACGACGACGACGCAGACGACGACGACGACGGCGGCGACGACGGCGACGACGGCGACGACGAGGCCGACGACGACGACGGCGGCGAGGCCTGCGAGGCCCACGGCCGGGCGCGCCCCTCGCCCGAGCGCCAGGATCTCCTCCAGGTCGCCGCTGGCGCCGGTGGAGCCGAGCGAGGCGCGGAGCCCTGGGGTGAAGTCGGGCGTGTCCCCCTACAGGGGGGTTTTTGTCGAAAAATGAGAAATACCCCAAAAGTACCACCAAAAGGTCAAAATTTACTAAAAATTATCCCGGCAAAGCAACCTAACAGCGATGTGTAGAAGCATATCTGAAAGCATTCCCCTTAAGATTCAAATGAAAAACCAGTTGTCGAATTCTGCTGTTCTCGCAGTCGTAGTCGCATTCGCGATGACAGTCGCAGCGGCAACGGCAGTCGCAGTCACAGCCTCAGCCTCAGCCTGCCTCCTCCTCCTCCTCCTCCTCTTTCTCCTGCTCCTCCTCCTCCTCCTCCTCCTCCTCCTCCTCCTCCTCTTCCTCCTGCTCGTCCTCGTTCTCGTCCTCCACGTCTTGCTCGTCCTCCTCCTCCTGGTGCTCTCTCCTCCTCCTCCTCCTCCTCCTCCTCCTCCTCCTCCTCCTCCTCCTCCTCCTCCTGGTGGTCCTCGTTCTCCTCCTCCTGGTGCTCTCCCCCCCCCTCCTCCTCCTCGTCCTCCTCCTCCTCCTCCTCCTCGTCCTCCTCCTCCTCTTCCTCCTCCTCCTCCTCCTCCTCCTCCTCCTCCTCCTGGTAGTCCTCCCCCTCCCCTCCTCCTCCTCCTCATCCTCCTCTTCCTGGTCGTCCTCGTTCTCGTCCTCCTCGTCTTGCTCTTCCTCCTCCTCCTAGTGTCTCGGTCACTCCCTCCTCCCCCTCCTCCTTCCTCCTCCCTCCTCCGCTTCCCTCCTCCTCCTCCTCTGTGGTCCCCTCGTTCTCCCTCCTCCTGTACTCTCCTCCTCCTCCTCCTCCTCCTTCTCCTCGGCCTCCGCCTCCTCTTTTCCTCCTCCTCCTCCTCTTCGTCCTCCTCCTCCTCTTTTCCTCCTCCTCCTCCTCCTCCTTTCCCTCCTCCTCCTCCTCCTCCTCCTCCTCCTCCTCCTCCTCCTCCTCCTGGTACTCCTCCCCCTCCCCTCCTCCTCCTCCTCCTCTTCCTGGTCGTCCTCCTCCTCCTGGTCGTCCTCCTCCTCCTGCTCGTCCTCCTCCTCCTCCTGCTCGTCCTTCTTCTCCTGCTCCTCCTGCTCCTCGTCCTGCTCCTGCTCGCCCTCGTCCTCCTGGTCTTGCTCGTCCTCCTCCTCGTCGTGCTCTTGCCCCTGCTGAAAATGTGGCCCAGGAATGGGAGTTCTGGGAAGTCGAAGAGCACGAAGTTGCCTACAGTTGGCTACGGGCATTCAAAATGTGGCCCGGGAATGGAGTTCTGGGAACTCGAAGAGCACGAAGTGGCATACAGTTGGCTCCGGGCATTCAAAATGTGGCCCGGGAATGGAGTTCTGGGAACTCGAAGAGCACGAAGTGGCCTACAGTTGGCTCCGTGCATCCAAAATGTGGCCCGGGAATGGAATTCTGGGAACTCGAAGAGCACGAAGTGTGTGACTGTTGCATCCGGTTATTCTAAATGTGGCCCGGGAATGGCGTTCTGGGATGTCGATGAGCACGAAGTGTGTGACTGTTGCATCCGGTTATTCAGAATGTGGCCCGGGAATGGCGTTCTGGGATCTCGAAGAGCACTTTGTGTGTGACTGTTGCATCCGGGTATTCAAAATGTGGGCCTGGGAATGATCTGGAAGTCAAGAGCACGAAGTGTGTGACTGTTGGTGAAAAACGAGCCCGGCACCCTGCCGCCCGGCAACTCCCCAACACCTGCCCGGACCCCCCTGTGGAGTGATCTGTGAGCTCTTTTGAGTCAACTAGAAACCTATCAGTCTTCGCTGTTAGGTAAATAGCCCACAGACTATTTTTGGACTATTGTTTGATTATTTTTGGGGGATCTTTTTTTTTTCCTCGAAAATCCCCCTGTAGGGGGGTTTCGACGAAGCACGAAAAATATTCCAAAAATACCCCCAAAAGGTCAAACAAACAAAAAATCAAACAATAGTCCCCAGACTATGTTTGGGCTATTGTTTGACTAGTTGTGGGGTCTTTTCTATTCTTCGTCGAAAATCCCCCTGTAGGAGGACACGCCCGACAGGGGGGGGGGGACTTCCTCGAGAGTCGGCTACACGCAGGGGTGACCCTGGGTAAGAGTGACCTTTGGTGCGCGACTTTTTGGGGGTCGCGGGGGGACCAAACCTGGGCGCGCAAGCAGCTGCTACTGCCTCGTTTTCGGCCATTTGGGGACCCATCTGTGCCCGCACCAAAGGTCACTCCGGCGAAAGGTCACTCTTACTCCTAGTCGAGAGAGCTCCTCGCAGAACGAGAGGGCCGCTCCCCGGCCTCGCAAGGAGGCTGGGCCTGATCCTCGTCGTGAGCATCAGCATCGACATCAGAATCGTCATCATGATCACCGTCAGCAACACCAGTATCAGCATCGACATCATAATCATCATCATCATCATCATCATCATCATCATCATCATCATCATCATCATCATCATCATCATCCTCATCATCACCGTCAGCAACAGCATCATCATCATCATAATCAGAAGCAGCAGCAACAGCAACATAGATATCATCATTACCACAATCATCATCGTCTTCATCATAATCATCATCATTAGCACATTCATGATCATCAGCAGCATAAGCAACCTCAGCATCATCACCGCCACCACCATCACTATCACCCTCATCATGATCATCACCATCACCATCATCATACCCATCATAAGCAGCAGCATCAGCACCAACATCATCATCAGCAGCATGAGCATCAAGAAATCAAACACAAATCAAAAATCATAAAAACAACAAAACAAAACAAAAAAAACAAACACAAAATCAAAAAAAACAGCAAAAAAAAACAATCAAAAGTTCACCAACCAAACACAATCAATCAACAAACATAAAAAAACAACAAAAAGATCATCAACAATCAACAAAAAACAAACATCAAACCAAACAAAAAAAGCAAAAAAAAAACAACAAAAACATCACCATCAACATCATCATCAACATCATCATCAATATCAACATCATCATCACCACCATCGCCATCATCATCACCGGCATCCGCATCAGAATCAGCATCGCACACAGCATAACAATCAACATTATCAGTTATCATCAGCATCCGCAACATCATCAGCAGCAGCATCATCCCCATCATCATCATTCCAATCACCACCACAATCAGCATCCTCATCACCAGCACCATCATCATAAGCATTCACATCATCATCACCATCATAGTCATCGTCACCAGCCTCATCGTCATCGCCATCATCATTAGCGTCCTGCTCGTTCACATCATCAGCATCACCATCACCATCACAATCACCATCATCATCATTATCATCAACATCATTATTATTATTATTAGCATCATCAGTATTATCAGCATTGCAAATATTATTATTAGCCGTGTCACCATCATAATCATTACCATGAGCACCATAATCATTATCGGCATCAACACCACCATCATCAACATTATCATCAACATCGTCATCGCATCATCATCCGCAACATCATCACCACCCCCATCATCACCATACTCGTAACCATCACCATCATCATCATCAACATCAGCATTATCGCCATTCACATCGCCAACATCATCATCATCAGCATCATCATCCACAGCATCATCGTCATCGTCATCAGCATCATCATCATCATAATCATCAGCATCATCATAAGCATCAACATCATCATCATCATCATCATCATCATCATCATCATCATCATCACCAGCATCACCCTCATCATCATCATCATCACCATCAGCAGCATAATCAGCACCAGCATCAGCATCAGCATCAGCATCAGCATCATCATGGTCAGCATCAGCATCAGCATCAGCATCAGCATGATCATCATCATCATCGTCATCGTCATCGTCATCATCATCATCATCATCATCATCATCATCATCATCATCATCATCATCATCAGCGGCATCATCACCATCATCATACTCATCATCGTCATCGTTTCCTCCCACTCCTCCTGCCAGCACAGCCTCCCTCCTCTAGCCCCCGCTCCCCTCGACCGTCCAGCCACCTTCCTGATGCCCCCCCCGTTCCGCTCGCCCGTCCAACCACCCTCCTTCCTCACGATCCGCCTCCTCATCCGCCTCCTCCTCCGCCTCCTCCTCCTCCTCCGCCTCCCCCTCTTCCTCCTCCGCCTACCCCTACCCCTCCTCCTCTTCCTCCTCCTCCTCCTCTCCGCCCTCCTCCCTCCTTCCTCCTCCCTAGTTACTCCCTCTTCTTCCCCCCTCCTCCTTCCTCCTCCCTCCCCCTCCCTCCTCCTCACTTCTCTTTCCTACTCCTCGCTCTTCCTCCCTCCTTATTCCTCCCCTCCTTCCCCCGCGGCCCAGCTCCTCGTTCCTTCCTCGCTCCTCGTTCCCCTCCTCCTCCCACGTCCTCCTACTACTACTATACTCCTCCTCTTCCTCCGTCCTCCTCCACCTCCTCCTCCTCCTCCTCCTCCTTCCTCCTCCGTCCTCCCACCTGTCTCCTCTCTCCTCCCTCCTCACTCAAGCTCCCTCACCTCCTCCTCCACTCCTCCTCCTCCTCCTCCTCATGCATCCTCCTCCTCCTCCGCGTCGTGTCCTCCTCCTCCTCCTCCTCCTCCTCCTCCTCCTCCTCCTCCTCGCCTCCTTTCCTCGTCCTCGTCCTCCTCCTCCCCGCCTCCTCCTCCTCCTGCGCCTCCTCCTCCTCCTCCCCTTTTCTCCTCGGTCCTGCCTCTTCCTACACACTCACTCCTCCTCCTCCTCCTCCTCCTCTCTCCTCCTCCTCCGCCTTCCTCCTCCTCCTCCTCCTCCTCCCTCACATCATCATCATCATCATCATCAGCATCATCATCATCATCATCATCATCCCCCTCCTTGTCCTCCTCCTCGTCCTTCTCCTCGTCCATTCCCGCTCCTCCGCCCTCCTCCACCCTCCTCCGCCCTTCACCTCCCTCCTCCGCCCTCCTCCGCTTTCTTCCCTCCTCCCCCCGTCCTCCTTCCTCCTTCCTTCCCCCTCTTCCCTCCTCCCTCCTTTCTCCTTTCCCCTCCCTCCTCCCGTTCCCCAGCAAAAAGGCCCCGGGGCACCCGAGTGGATCCCCATCCCCATCACAAAGGGGGACCCCCGGTAGTTTGGGTTATGGTCCTGGGTCCCTAACCATGAAACGCGTAAGATCATTAAACCAAAAATTGCCAGGAGACAGGCATGCAAGTGCGGCCTGGCAAGGGCGGCAAGGGAGGAGAGGAAGAGGAAGACGGGGGGCTGGGCGGGGGGCGGTCGTGGATGACGCCCTGGTGGCCGTGGAAGGCGGCGCGGTGGTCTAATAGTCGGAGTGGCGGTGGTGGCCGTTGGCTGTAGCAGTCGCGGTGATTGTCGCGGCGCTGCCGTCGTCGAGCTGCTGAGCCCCAGGCGCTAGTAGTGGCGGTGGTTGTGGTGGTCGGCGCCAGAGGTCGGTGGGGTTGAAAGCGGTGATCATGGTGGGCGTGCTGGTGACCGTGATGGCAATGGCGGCAGTGGGAAAGGTGGTCGTCGTGCTGGAGGTGGTGCTACTGCTGCTGGCGGTTGTCGTGCTGGGGCTACTGGTGGTGGGAGCCGCGGAAGCAGCCAGCTGCCCCTCACCGCCCCAAGGCGCTAAGGATCATCTCCGCGCTCCCGTGTTAGAGGGCGCGTGCAATGTCCCGCCAGATCCGACTCGGGAATTCAGAGCGGCCGGCGACATTACGAGGGGCACCGTAACTCCGAACGAAGCTCACTGCCTCGTCGGACGGCCGCCCCACAGTCTCGAAGACCATCGGGACTAGATCGTAGCCCTCCTGGGGGGGTAGCGGTCGCGTTTGTCCTCGACCATCTGGGCTGCTGCGAACCCATCTCGTTCCGCTCGGGCGTGCCTGCGTGGGGCGTAGGTAGAGTGTACGCAGGTCACCGACCAATCGACGAATATGGGTCGGCCAGTGCTGGGGTGGTGCGTCTGGATGTCCAACTTTGCCTCCTGAAGGACCCCAGTCCGGGGATTACAGCTGTCCCACGCCGCACGCCAGCACCCGCTGTTCAGTTGGCGCAGCATGACCCGTGATATCCTGATGCGTAGCTGCACGTCGGTCACGGAGGCGGTCGGGCCGAGCAACGCGGGAATTGGCCGCCTCGCATGACTTGGCGTGAGACCCATGTGGGTCGAGGGCCTTTCCGCTCAGCGTGCCGTCTCGACGTCGGCGTTGGCAGCGTGAGCCCGCGGGGCAGACTGGCGCACGGAGCCAGCACATGAGGCACACCTCGAACTGGTCGTCTGGTTGCACAGGGTCTCTCTGTTGCTGCGGCTGGAGAAACGTCCCTGCGCCCACGCGACCGTCCCTCCTCCTCCTCCTCCTTTCCTCCTCCTCCTCCTCCTCCTCCTCCTCCTCCTCCTCCTCCTCCTCCTCCTCCTGCTCCTGCTCCTGCTCCTCCTCCTCCTCCTCCTCCTCCGAGCATGTCGTGGCAGATCTGCAGCACATCATGGCATGCCCTGGCAGGGCATCAGGCACACGTGTACAAAGAGGGAGCAGGCACAAGCTGAAACCGTCCGCTGGTCTGCTAAAGCTGTCGGGAGTGAGCTCATCGGGGGGCGATCGAGGAGGAGGAAAAAGGGTGCCCTTTTCGGGCCCCCGAGGCCCGCTCTGGAGCCCCTTTTCTGCAGCCTTCGCTGCACCCCCATTTATCGCCCCCCATCAACTCGCACCCGAAATCAGGAGAGCCCAGAATCGAATCGATAAGACGAATCGGCAATCGGAACGAATCGGATCGGCGGAGATCGGCAGCCGAGTCGGGAAAAGTCGGATCGGCGGAAATCAACTGGCCGGTAGGCCTGTTGAGAAATCGGAACCCAAATCGAAAGCCGAAATCGAATCGAATCGGAATCGGAAGCAATCGAAATCGAATCGAATCGAATCGGAGGAATCGAAACGCCCTGCGAAATTGGCTGACCCCCCAATAGCGCCGGAATCACCGCCGTGCCTTGGGAAGGAAACCACCACACGCAAGCGCGGGCAGGATCCGAGCCGAGGACCTGCGACCACCACCCCGCAGGGTAACGGCGCCCCCCCGGCCCCCCTCCCCCCCCAGCCCAGAGGCGGGGCGGGAGGATGCCCCACCAGGGGCGGGGCAGGTCAAGTGCTGGGCCTGCCCTGCACCCTTACCCTCGGGGAGGATCGAGGAGGAGGATCGAGGAGGAGGAGGAGGAGGAGGAGGAGGAGGAGGAGGAGGAGGAGGAGGAGGAGAAGGAGGGTAAGGAGGAGAAGGAGGAGGAGGACGAGGAGGAGGAGGAGGAGGGGGAGGATGACAAGCTAGGTGCCCTCGCGTCATATCTGACGTCCTACCCCCCCTCCCATCCCTTACCATGGCGTAGATCTTCTCTCTATTCGCACAGTCGGCTGTCGTAGCAGGGCATCGCATCACATGGCATAGCATGGTGTTGAAGATCAACGCGTAGCCTGACGCCCAAAAGTGGGGGGGTCCTGCAACGAATCGGCACCAAATGTGCAATCACTTCCGATGGTTGCCTCGGGGTGTAATTTTCTAGTTTTGAGTTCCTATTTGGAAGGGAAGAAAACCATGCCGTGGCATGGCGCTGGAAATGATGACGCTAGCGCTGCAGCGGGAGCACGATTCGGAACGAGCAGAAGCGCGGAAATAAGGCCAGCGCTGCCGCGGGAGCACGTGTCGGAATGAGCGGAAGCGCGGAAATGAAGCCAGCGCTGCAGCGGGAGGGGAAGCCCGAAAAGGAGGCCAGCGCCTCAGCGAGAGGGGCTTTCTGGAAACAGCCAAAAAATATTAAACAAGCGAAAACCCAACTCGCCGACATCCTGAATGGAAAAAACAATACGCGACGGGGCCGAACACTCCGAGACAGATTCCGCTTCAGACTCAGGGGAGAGAGGAGAGTAGTATTCATATTAAGTAACTGTGGGGGAGGATGAGGAGGAGGACGAGGAGCAGGAGCAGGAAGAGGAGGGGGAGGAGGAGGATCGATCCTCGACCCTCGATCGCCATCCCTCCCCTCGAGAGGGAGCGTCGGCCCTCCTCGATCGTGCTCGACCCTCCCCAGATGCGCTGCCCAACCCTCCCCCGACATTCCTCGTCGAGCCTCCATCGATCCTCGACTCTCCCTCGATCCTCGATCCTCCGTCGACCCTCGACCCTCGACCCTCGATCCTCGATCCTCGGCCCCTCGATCCTCGCGAAGCTGCGCCCTCGCCCCCTCCCCCCCCCCACGCCCGCGCGGCCCCGCCCCCCCCCCGTCGTCGTCCTGGGAGCGCAGGCGCGGGTCCGCCGGAGCCCTGGGCGGCGTCCGCGCCGCCCGGCACGGCGCCCTCGGGGGCGCGGGGGGGGGGGAGAGAGGAAGGAGAGGAGGAGGGGAGGGGGGAACTTCGAGGATTGATCCTCCCCTCCCCCCCGCTCTCCGCAGGAAGGGGGAGGGCGTCCGTCGCGGAGGGGGGGGGCGACAGGCGCCCTCCTCTCTGTCCTCCCCTCCTCTCCCCCCCCCTGGGCGAAGCGGGGCAAGGCAGGGAGAAGGAAGGGGGAGGCGATGGGGAGGGAGGAGGGGTCAGGGATTTGACGCGTCGCGTCGCACAGGCTAGAACCAGCAGCGACAAGGGAAGGTCTCCAGCGAACCCGACCCCGAAGGGGAAGGGCGCCCCAGAGCCGAACCCTCCACGCCATCAGTCGAAACCAAGGAACCACCACAGTCCACCGCGCTGGCGAAATCAGCAAGAGGCACCACCTCGTCAAGCGGCACATCCCCTCTCAGGTGGTTGGGATGGATGCCTCTACGGATTCTGCTAGACCACGAAAAAGCGCCCCGAGAAAAATCAGAAAAAAATGCGGGGGCGTTTTTTTCGCACCCCATGTGGTTCACCCGCCGACGCATGAGGGGCGAGCTGCTGTCGTTCACCTGCCGATGCAGGAGCAGCTTTCGAGACATGCCCGAAGGCGCCCCGATGCACGCTCCGAACCGTCCCAGCGGCAGTCCCTCGCGCGGCGCGCACGGCACGGCGGAGGATGGGAGGAAACCGAGCCAGCCGCCATGGTTCACCCGACAAGCGGGGGCGGCGCAGCGACGTGCCCGAAGGCGACGCTGCCGTCGAAACCGGCCAGGCCGAGGGAGGGCCGCGCCCACGCGGCGCGTGCAGGCCCGGCTCAGGCCCCCTCAAGCCTCGGCACCCTTGCCTTGGAGGCAGGACATGACTAGCGAGCGGATGGTGTCCAGCACGGAACTCTTGAGCTCGGCGAGCTCGGTGCCGAGCTTCACTTCGAACTCCTTCGTCCGGCCGTTGATATTATCAAGATCTGCTGTGAGCTCGGCCTGCTGCTCCTTCGAGTGGTAGACGACCTGGTCAAGGTCTGTCTTGGTGGCGGTCTTCTGCATCATCATCTCTTCGCGGATCAGCCCGAGATCTTCGATGGGCGCCTTGCCGCTCAGCTGCGCATTCGTGAAGCTGTTGATATTGTCAAGATCTGTTTGGTTTGCGACCATCTGCTCCTTCAGTTCGCCGTAAACCGAGGGGAGGTCTGCCTTGATGGCGGCCGTCTGCAACTTCAGGTCGCTTTGGACCTGCTCGAGAAGCTGCCCCAGGATGGAGCTGCCGATATTGACAAGATCTGCTTTTGTGCGGCCATCTGCTCCTTCAACTCGCTGTGGACCAAGTCGGTCGTCTGCAACTTCAGGTCGGCACGGACCCGCTCGAGAAGCTGCTCCATGTTGGGGCGGTTAATATTGTCAAGGTCGGCCTTGTGCACGGCCATCTGCTCCACCCGCTCGCGGTAGACCTGGCCGATGTATGTCTTGGCGGCGGCCGTAAACATCTTCACCAATTGTTTCTGGGACGGTCTCGCAGGTCCCCGATGAAGAAGCTCTGTTCCTTCTTCGTGCTCATCCTGGCCTCGGGCGACGCCATGGCCATGAAGACCTTCATATCCCCAACGTTCACGGTGGGGCCGTCGAGGACTACCAACTCCATGTTGGTACCGCTGCTCTCACCGTTCAGCCCTGTCAAGTAGCCAGCCATCATCTCGCCGAAGTCTTCGCAGAGGAGATGCCTGCGCACCAGCACCTGGACCCTCATCTTCGGGCAGGAAGTTTTACACCAAACCCAACTGGGCTGCCTCGCCTTCAGCACGAGCACGCGCTGCTCAAGCGGCAGGCTAGCGCAGCAGCCCGGTGGCGCTTCGCCTCCGGCGCGAGGACGAGGGGCGGCGCGAGAGGCCCTGCGCGTAAGCCCCCTGTGGCCGAGGAGGGGGGGTCAGGGAGGAGGGGGGGCGAGGGGGAGGGAACATGCGGGAGCATACACGTCGGTCGGAAGAAGTGGGTAAAAACATGAAGTAGGAAGGCGGATTAAGTTGATTGGGTCCAGGCCCCCCCAGAGAATAACAAAACACAGCAAAAGCCTGTCGATTCTTGGAGTAGGAAGGCGCTTGAAGTAGATTGGGATCTGGAAATCCCACAATACCTACTTCCAACGACCGGCGTGTACTGATGGGGACGCGAGTGCCCCCTGCCCCGCGCCCACGGGGAGAGGTTCGGCTCGGGAAGTGCCGATGCTGCGCCAAGCTGGGTCTTCGAGCTGCCTGCCATGCCGGGTTCTAGAATTAAGTCGGGCCTGTCCCCCTACAGGGGGATTTTGGACGAAACATGAAAATATTCAGAAAATGCTCAGAAGATTCCCAAACATGGTCAAAAAATCGTCCCCGGACTATTTTTGACTATCTTTGAATTTCCCCCCTGTAGAGGGACAGGCCCGACTTCATTCCAGAGCCGTCGCGGCAGCGCATTCGCTTGCACCTGGGAGTTCCGAGCAGTAGACAGCAGGAGGCTGCGCGCCGCCAAAGCCCAGCAGCACTTCATTGAAGGGGCCCCAGGACACACAAATAAATACACACAAATAAAAAAGATTCCCCATGTTTTCCATATTTTCTGGGGGATCGAGGATTAATTGTGTCTGTGTGTTTCTTTTCCTCCTGATCCATGTCGGCATGTGGTGATTGGGGGGAACAGAGAACGGGGGAAATGAAGCTCGACTCAAGTACATGCGACTGGTCATGCTGGAAAGCCTGCGCGCTGCGGGGAAGAGGAAAACCGTTTCGCTCGTCGTGCTGTCCGAAGTCACCCAACCACGGCATCCGTTCGTGCCCAGGCCACGTCGCTGAGGCGGTAGCTACTCAACCTTGCCTCGACACACTGCATCGCAACATGGCCACGTAGGAGAGGGGATGGTGAGGGGGCAGGGGGGCAGGGGAGGTGAGCGGGCGGCGAGTGGGAGAGAGCGGGCGAGAGAGCGGGCGTGCGTCGAACGGGAGTGGGGGCGGGTGGAGGCGGGACGTGAGCTGGGGCAGAGTCCTGGAGAGCCCTGGAGAAGCATCTCAATTCTTCACATGCTCGGGCAGGGAGACGTGAGAGGGAAGGGGCAGGGATTGAGGGTTGGAGGAAGAAGGGGAGCTGGGGAGACAGGGACGGCGGATGGCGGGGAGCGTCAAGGACGGAGGATCGGGACTCGAAGTGCGAGGACCGAGGCCCGATGATCAAAGCTTGAAGGTAACGCTTTTTGAGGGCAGGCCGCCAGCTCACGACAAATGGACGGGGGGTGGACCGCCCCCCTTTCTCTGGCGCGCTACTGGGTAGTTCCACCAGTTTCGATCCGTCGTCCAGGACCACCCACCCTCCTCCACCTCTTCCACCTCCTTGCTCCCCCTTCCCCTGTCCTCTCCCTCCTCCACCCCTTCCGCCTCCACCCCCCGCCCCTCGACCACGTCGCCCACGACGACGACTGCCACCGCCGCCACACCAGCGCCACCCCCACGCGGCGACGGGGATGACCGCGGCGCCCACGACGGCGACGACGCCCACGACGCCCACAACGACAGCGCCGACGGTGGCGGCGAAGTCGCCGCCGCCGTCGCAGCGAGCGCCGGCGTCGTCAAAAGCGCCGCCAGCCGGGGCGAGGAGCCGCGCCGCCGCCGCGCCTCCTCGCCGAGCCAGTCGAGCACTTTGGCGTGCAGCGGCGACAGCTCGCCGCTGGCGGAGTCGTCCGCGGGCAGCGGCGGGACCAGCGCTCGCGGCGGCGGCGCGGCGGGCGGGCGGGGACAGCGGGGGGAGGGGGGGGGGAGGAAGGAGGAGGAGAGGAGAGGAGAGAGGAGTGAGGATGAGGAGGAAGAGGAGGGAGGAGAGGAGGAGGAGGAGGAGGAGGAGGAGAGAGGCGGAGGAGAGGGAGGAGGAGGTGTGAGGGAGGAGGAGGAGGAGGAGGAGGAGGAGGAAGGAGGAGGAGAGAGAGGAGGAGGAGAGAGGAGGACGGAGGAGGAGAGGGAGGAGGAGGAGGACGAACGAGGAGGACGAGGAGGCGGAGGAGGAGGAGGAGGAGCAGAGGCAGGAGGACAGGGACCTGCTGCACCTGGTCGAAAGGGAAGGGCAGAGGCTTTGGCTCTGTCGCTCTGGGAGCGGCGTGACGCAGCATGGCAAGGAGCGCGCCGAATTCGCCGCCGCTGACGACCATGAAGGCCTCGGACATCATGCCAGACTTATGTTGCTCCCATCGTACTTAAGGACCACATCCCAGAAATAATTTCGAGCAACCAGAAAAGTGTTGAAAGAGTGTCGAAAGAGTGTCGAAACAGTGTCGGACGAGTGTCTCCCAGGGCCCGACACGCGAAAACCCTTGAGATGTAGGGTATTTTTTATGGTGCTCGAAATTATCTCTGGTGGTCAAGGCTAAAGTAGGTTGGAACATCATAATGCCAGACACCTCAGCGGACGACCTCACAGCTTACCACCAGCGCAAAAGCAGCCCAACGCTCGCTGGCGCACTCGCCCCTCGAACGCCGGAAAGCTCTCCCGGCGGCGACCTGCCGTCGGAGTCGCCAGCACAGGCTGTCGAACCTGGGCTTATGTCGGGCCTGTCCCCCTACAGGGGGATTTTGGACGAAAAAATATCCCAGTGCGACCCTACCTAGGAGTTGGAACATCTTTGCTTGCTTGTGCTTTGCTTTGCTGTTGCTGCTGTTGGTTTGCCTTTGCCTTGCTGCTATGCTATGCTATGCTGCGCTATGCTATGCCATGCTATGCTATGCTTTGCTATGCTATGATATGCTGTGCTATGCTGCGCTATGCTATGCTATGCTATGTTATGGTATGCTATGCTAGGGTACGCTCGGCTGCGCTGTGTTATGTTAGGCTATGCTATAATATACTGCGCTATGAAATCCTATGCTATGCTGAGCTATGCTATGCTATGCTATGCTGCGCTATGCTATGCTATGCTATGCTAGGCTACGAGATGATATGTTATGATGCGCTATGATATGTTGTGTTATGCTATGATATGCTATGTTGCGCTATGATATGCTATGCTATGATACGCTATGATATAATGTGCTATGCTATGCTATGCTGCGCTGCGCTATGCTAATCAATGATATGCTATGGTATGCTATGCGATGCTGCGCCATGCTATGCTATGCTACGCGATGCTATGCTAGGCTGAGCTATGATATGCTATGCTATGCTATGATATGATTGGCTATGCTATGCCATGCTATGCTATGCTATGCTATGCTGTGCTAATGCTTCGCTGCGCTATGCTGCGCTGCGCTGAGCTAAGCTAGGTTAGGCTAAGCTAAGCTAAGCTAAGCTAAGCCAAGCCAAGCTAAGCTAAGCTAAGCCAGGCTAGGCTAAAGTAGGCTAAGCTAAGCTAAGCTAAGCTAAGCTAAGCTAAGCTAAGCTAGGCTAGGCTAGGTTAAGCTAAGCTAAACTAAGCTAAGCTAAGATGAGACAAGCAACGCTAAGCTAAGGGGACGTCACTGGGGGAACCGCGGGGCGGATGCCGGGGGAACCGCCCTGGGCGGGCAACACTGCCCGGCCCTTTAAGCATATAAAGTAAGAACCCTTCTAGGCAGAGCCTAGGTAGGGACAAATACTCAAAACTGAAAAGGTACTCAAAAGATGCCCCAAAATACTCAAAAAATAGTCCCCTGACTATTTTTCATACTATTTTTGAATTTTCCCCCTGTAAAGGGACAGGCCCGACTCAAACCTGGGCGGCAGCCGACGGAGCAGCTGGGCGCCGGCCGGAACGCACGCTCCAACAGGCACCGCACTCCGGAACCAGCATCATGTCGGGCCTGTCCCCCTACAGGTGGATTTTGGGCGAAAGATTAAAAAATACTCCAAAAGTACCCCCACATAGTCACAAATAATCAAAAAATCGTCCCCAGACTATTTTTTTGCCTATTTTGGAATCTCCCCCCTGCGGAGGGAGAGGCCCGACTTAAAACAACAAGCAGCAGCACGCTGCCGACGGGGTGCGAGTGGGCCAGTGGCTGGAGCTCCCCTGGCCACCCCGAGCAGTGCAGCGCCCGCGCAACGGCGCGCCGAACTCTGCGCGCAAGAAGCAACCACTGTCGAGAGGAGGAGAAGGAGGAGGAGAAGGAAGAGGAGGAGGAGGAGGAAGGCGATGAAGCGGAGGATCGAGGCTTTGGGATGTTGGGGCTTCCAGAGTCATTCAGGGACGAGGCCTCTAGGTGCCCCCCCCCCAGACCTCAGCGGGCCAAAAGACCTCGGAAAACTTCCGAAACAAGTCTCTCCCGCGGAACTCGGGGGGTGAGCGTTCGCATCCGTGTGCTTCCACGAAACAGCGCGCAAAATATTGGCATATTGGCATGTATCGTCAGCCTCAGCAGTGAGTCTGGTTCGTCTGATCTTTCTTTGGGGGCGATGGAAGGAACGGAGGGAGGGACGGAGATCATCCCTCCTTCCTTCTTCCCTCTCCCGGGGGGGGGGCCTTATTTCTAGAAGGGAAGGGCGACAAAGGATCTGCTGGGGTCCAAGTGGAGTCCCAGTCGGGCCCTTGGACGGCCATGGTTGATCCTGGTAGGGCCCCGGTGGGGTCACCGTGGGGCCCTGGAAGGCCGAGTAGTGGAGCCAAGCGCGGCATGGAGCATCAGCAGCACCAGCAGGGGAAGGCGCAGCAGCACCAGGGGGAGAAGGAAGAGGTGGGCGGTGGCCTGCGGAGGAGGAGGAGGAGGAGGAGGAGGAGGAGGAGGAGGAGGACCTCCGACCTGGAAGAGAAGGCCCTTCGACCTCCACTCCTCCCCCTCCTCCTCCCCCTTTTCTCTCCTGGCCTCCCCCTTCCGACAAAAAAAACGTTTCCTAACCACCGCGGGCCCTCGGAGAACACCCGAAAACCCTCGCCCGCCTCTCCCCCGCGGCGTCGGAACGGTCCTCCTCCCCATGCCCACTCTGCGCCCTCCTCGTCCTTCTCGTCCTCCTCCTTACACCCTCGTCTCCGCCTCCTCCTCCTCCTCCTCCTCCTCCTCCTCCTCCTCCTCCTCCTCCTCCTCGTTCTCCTCCTCCTCAGCCTCCTCCTCTTTCTCCTCCCCCTCCTCCTCCTCCTGTTTCTCTTCCTCCTCCTCCTCATCAGCAGCAGCAGCATCAGCATCAACATCATCAGCATCAGCCGTATCATCATCACCACCATCATCATCACCACCACCATCACCAATATCGGCATCATCATCAGCATCATCATCATCACCATCGTGTTCATCCGCATGATCATCATCATCCGCATCATCATCGTAATCGTCTTTTCATCATCATGAACATCACCTGAATCATCATCATACTTAATCAACAACAACATCAGCATCAACAGCAGCAGCATCCTCACCATAATCATCACGAGCATCATCATCATCATCATCATCATCATCATCATCATCATCGTCATCAACATCATCAATGGTTCCTCCTCCTCCTCCACCTCTTCCTACTCCCACCCAGTCCCCCTCCTCCGCCTCCACCTCCTTAACATCCGCCAACGCCTCAGGCGCCTCCTCCTCCATCTCTTCCTCCTCTTCCTCCTCCTCTTCCTCCTCCGCCTCCTCCTCCTCCTCCTCCTCCTCCTCCTCCTCCTCATGTCCCCTCCCCCTTCCCTTCCTCTTCGATCCCTCCTCCTCCTCCTCCTCCAAGTCTCTCCTCCTCCTCCTCCTCCTCCTCCTCCTCCTCCTCCTCCAGTCTTTTGCCTGGATATGTAGAATCCCTGCAAGAGGTTCTGTTGATGTCTCATGGTCAGTGGGCTCCGCCGATGACATGGGGAAGAAGGGATAAGACCGTCAAGCTTACACTAGGATAGCACTGAAGGGAGGAGGCCGGCCCGGCAGCCGACGCACGCGCGCGCGCCGCAGGCACGCGTCCGCTAACCTTGAGTGTGTATACATATATAGCTGCGGAAGCAGTCAGTTCATCAGGCAGTGCGCGCAAGGCAAAGGAGCAGACAAGGCTAAAGGGTGGTGGAGCGGAAGGGGTGCATTGACTCCTCCTCCTCCTCCTCCTCCTCGTCCCCCTCGTTCTCCTCGCTCCCCTCCTCCCGCTCCACCCTCCTCATTCCCCTCCTCACTCCTCCCCCTCCCCCTCCCCGCTGTCTCCCCCTCCCCCCCTCCCTCTCCCCCCCCCCTTTCCCCGTCCGCCAGAGCCCCCCCCCCGGAGGCCCACCGCAGGCCCTCCGCAGGCCCTCCGGGCGCCCCCCTCGGTGGCGGGGGGGCGGTCGGGGCCGTCTGGCGGCGACGGCGGCCACAGCCGCGACATGGCGCCGCCGCGCGCGCGCCCCGGCTCGGCCGGGCGAGGAGCCCTGGCGCTGGAGCGAGGGCAGGGGCGAGGGCAAGGGGGAGGGAGGAGGCAGGAGGAGGAGGAGGAGGAG